CTTTATCATTATTATAATTATAATTATTTTTCCCTTTGTTTAGCCTACTGATTCTGAGACATATTTGGGCCAGGTATCTAGATACGTTTCAGCATAATATTCTTTAAAGCCTGTGAAATTTACAACTTGTAAAATATGCCACACGCAGCTGTTGCATATTCCAAGATCCTTTTTTTACATATCAACGATTCAGATCATTTAGGTCAGTAGGCTGTGTTTGATCCAAGCTTCACCCGATTAAAGCCTCCCAATCAGATTATTTGAGCACGAATTATAAAACCGCACCTTAGATATGCAGTTAGGTAAAAGGGCTGTTATGAAAGAAGGCTTTAAAAACAAACAGGTTGTGCTACTTTGTGATTGTGTTCCCCCCCCCAGTAGTTTCTTCCTTTTCCTGGTGATAATGAGGCATGTGAAATAAATAAGGATTACCAACTATTTCCTGGTTTTGATTACAAATGTAGGGCACTCGTGCTTTAAATGCAAAATTTCGGTTGCTGGAATTGGGTATGTCTAGTTTAACGAAGAGAAGGACGAGGGGTGACATGATAGCAGCCTTCCGATATCTCAGGGGCTGACCCAAAGAAGAGGGAGTCAAGCTATTCAAAGCACCTAAAGGCAGGACAAGAAGCAACGGGTGGAAACTAATCAAGGAGAGAAGGACGAGGGGGGACATGATAGCAGTCTTCCAGTATCTCAGGGGTTGCCCCAAAGAAGAGGGAGTCAAGCTATTCTCCAAAGCGCCTGAAGGCAGGACAAGAAGCAACGGATGGAAACTAATCAAGGGGAGAAGCAACCTAGAACTAAGGAGGAATTTCCTGACAGTGAGAACAATTAACCAGTGGAACTACCTGCCTCCAGAAGCGGTGAATGCTCCAACACTGGAGGTTTTTAAGAAGAGACTGGACAGCCATTTGTCCAAAATGGTATAGGGTTTCCTGCCTGAGCAGAAGGTTGGACTAGATGACCTCCAAGGTCCCTTCCAACTTTATCATCATCATCATCATCATCATCATCATTATTATTATTATTATTATTATTATGGGTTTGTTTTTTTCAAAAAAAGGTAGGTGCTATCTTTTTAAAACAGCCTTCTGAAGGGAGAATGTTCGTTTTATCAGTCAGCGTTCAGGTTATGAAGCAAGGACGTGACTTCCTTTTGGAAATCCTGGTCAGCTGGCTAGACTGACGTCTGTTGGACTTCCCTTTTCAGCTTTTGATGCTGAGTTTATTTATTATTAGATTTTTATCCCGCCTTTATTACTTTATAAACAACTCAAGGTGACCAGCATGCCTAATATTCCTTCTTCCTCCTGTTTTCCCACAAAAATCGTGTGAGGTGGGTTGGGCTGAGGGAGAATAAATGGGCCAAAGTCATCCAGCTTGCTTTTGTACTTAAGGCAGGACTAGAACTCACCGTCTGCTGGTGATTGGCCCAAAGTCACCCAGTTGGATTCCATGCCTAAGGCGGGACTAGAACTCACCGTCTCCTGTGATTGGCCCAAAGTCACCCAGCTAGCATTTGTGTCTAAGGCGGGACTAGAGCTCACCGTCTCCTGGTGATTGGACCAAAGTCACCCAGCCAGCTTTCACGCCTAAGGCGGGACTAGAACTCACCGTCTCCTGTGATTGGCCCAAAGTCACCCAGCCGGCTTTCACATCTAAGGCGGGACTAGAACTCACCGTCTCCTGTGATTGGCCCAAAGTCACCCAGCCGGCTTCCATGCCTAAGGCGGGACTAGAACTCACCGTCTCCTGTGATTGGCCCAAAGTCACCCAGCCAGCTTCCATGCCTAAGGCGGGACTAGAACTCACCATCTCCTGTGATTGGCCCAAAGTCACCCAGCTGGCATTTGTGTCTGAGGCGGGACTAGAACTCACCGTCTCCTGGTGATTGGCCCAAAGTCACCCAGCCGGCTTCCATGCCTAAGGTGGGACTAGAACTCACCGTCTCCTGGTGATTGGCTCAAAGTCACCCAGCTGCATTTGTGTCTAAGGTGGGACTAGAACTCACCGTCTCCTGGTTTCTAGGCTGGCACTATGCCAGGCTGGTTGAGGCCCGCTCTGCTCGGTGGGAGAACAGGCCCTGGACCGATGGAGGTTTCTGTCTCTTTCAGACTCGGAGGCCAAGCAGCAGAGAAAGGTAGCCGAGATCTACCAGGTCCTGGACAGTGAGCCCGTCGACATTGCCCCCCTCCGGCGCATGGCGATCAGCGAAGGCGGCCTTCTCAGGGACGAGATCCGCTGCAAAGTATGGCCCAGACTTCTCAACGTCAACACCGGCGACCTGCTGCCTCCGCCAGGTGAAGCCCTCCCACTCTTCCCACCTGCCCAGCCTCGGAGCACGGGGGCGGGGGGCGAGTCCCTCTGCACCAAGGACATTCCAGCTGTGGATTTGGGGGTCCCTGGTGCTCCCTGAGACTGGTTGTTTTCTTCTTTGATTACCTGACTGGGCGACATCATCGTCAGTGCTAGAAGGGAGGGGGGAGGAGGAGGAGGAGGTGAGGAGGAGGACGACTGTGGGGTCCTTGATGCTGTCTGAGCTTGGTTGTTTTCTTGCAGACATTTTACTCTCTGAGTAGGTAACATCATCAGTGCTAGAAGGGAGGGGGGTTGTGGAAAGGAGGAGGAGGACTGTGGAGTCCTTGGTGTTTTCTGAGCTTGGTTGTTTTCTTGAAGACATTTCATGACCCAGCTACGTAACATCATCAGTGTTAGAAGAGAATGGGGTATGTAGGGAGGAGGAGAGGAGGAAGAGGAGGAGGAGGACTGAGGGGTCCTTGGTGCTCTCTGGTTGTTTTCTTGAAGATATTTCATGACCCAGCTAGGTAACATCATCAGTGTTAAAAGAGAATGGGGTATGTGGGGAGGAGAAGGAGGAGGAGAGGAGGAGGAGGAGGAGGACTCTGGGGTCCTTGGTGCTCTCTGAGCCTGGTTTTCTTGAAGACATTTCATGACCCAGCTAGGTAACATCATCAGTGTTAGAAGAGAATGGGGTATGTGGGGAGGAGGAGGAGGAGGAGGAGGAGGAGAATGACTGACTGAGGGGTCCTTGGTGCTCTCTGAGCCTGCTTGTTTTCTTGAAGACATTTCATGACCCAACTAGGTGACATCATCAGTGTTAGAAGAGAATGGGGTATGTGGGGAGGAGGAGGAGGAAGAGGAAGAGGAGGAGGACTGTGGTGATCCCTGGTGCTCTCTGAGCCTGGTTGTTTTCTTGTAGACATTTCATGACCCAGCTAGATAACATCATCCGTGTTACAAAGGAGTGGGTTGGGACAATCAAGGAACTGCCAACACAGACAAACAAGCCAACAGTAAACAACAACTTATTCAAGGAACCGCCAAAAACACTCCCACCAACACGGACAGGGCAAGCCACTAGTCCAGAGTGTCAAAGTGCCCATTCACGGGCCGGATGCATCATAGCAAAACCGCTCCCACCCCATTGCCAGCAATAGCAAAAAAAAAGTCGAGACACATCACGTGACATTGCGAGTTTGACACCCCTGCACTAGTGTCTAAGCAAAGAGTAAAACCCACTCCCTTGTAACCCTGAAGATCGTCTGGCTGAGGAATTCTGGGAGTTGAAGTCCACAAATCATGAAAGGGCCAAGTTTGAAAACCCCTGTCTTAAATCTAACAAACAAAATGGAGGCCGGCTGAGGAATTCTGGGAGTTGAAGTCCACAAGTCATGAAAGGGCCAAGTTTGAAGGCCCCTGGTTTATGATATTGTGCTTTTCTGCTTTTTAAGAGATATCAGAAGGCAAAAGCATGTCTGGCTTGCAATCTTCACGGTTTCACGACGTCTTTTCTTAGCTTCCCGGTCTTTCTTTTCAATTATCATTAATAATAAAATTCCTTTGCCATTTCTCTTAGAGGAAGAACTTCGGGAAAAAAGCAAAGATTATCAGCAAGTCCTGCTGGATGTGAGGCGATCCCTCCGGCGTTTCCCGCCAGGTATTTTGATCAGTCAATCCTCTCTTTTTTTTAATGTTTTGTTGATTTTCTAATTTTTACAGTTAATCGATAATTCAGTGACATACAAGTAAGTATGTTTAGTAGAAGTCTCAAACTACCCTATTAAATATTTCCTCTCTTTTCCCCTTAGTATTTACTGTCTCATGTTTAAACTCATACAATTCTTATGACATCAATTCAATAAAAATAACCTTCTTACATTTATCCATAATTTTTAGCTTATATATATCCTGGTTATTTTAACATTCAGTCTTTATAGACAGTCAATGTCCTAGTTTATCCCAATTTTTAGTCAGTCCTCTTTCTGACCTTGAGAACTCCTGCAAAATTAACTGGGTTAAAACGCAGTCATTTATGGCCGTTTCTTCCGGTGAAGCCAAATGCTTACAGGCAGTCCTTACAACAGTTCATTTAGTGACCGTTTGAAGTTAACAGCGGTGCTGAAAAAAGGGACTTTTTTTCCCAGCCTGATGCTGGGAAAGATGGAGGGCAAGAGAAGAAGGGGACGACAGAGAAGGAGGTGGCTGGAGGGAGTCCCTGAAGCAGCAGGCCTGAGCTTCAATGGACTCCAGAAGATGGCAGAGGACAGGAAGGCCTGGAGGAACGTGGTCCATGGGGTCGCGATGGGTCGGACGCGACTTCGCAACTAACAACAACAATCAAGGACTTTCTATATATGACACATTCCCCAAAATCTATTTATGACCTAGTTACAACATCCCACCCCCACATGGGTGCATTTTGGGTGCTCAGCAACACATTGACAGCCATTTGCAATGCCCTGTGGACAAGTGACCACAATATGCAGTGGTTTTGCCAAAAACCAGCATTAATTTCTGGTTTCTGGCACAAAACACACACGCCATAGATAGCCGTAGGTTCACTTAACGACAGCTGCATAACAATTGCCCCCCAAAAGGTGGTCAAATTGGGTCCAGGCACATTGTGATCTGCTTCCCAACTGTCAACGACTTTATTCCATCAATTTTCGTATTTATTCAGAAGATTAAAGTACAAAATCCAAATGAAAACTGGATTGCCAGGCTGAATTAATAGAAAATAGGAATAGGAATAGAATAGAAAATATGAAATGGAACGAATAGAGTATAGAGTAGAGTAGAATAATAGAATAGAATAGAATCATGGAATGGAATAGAATAGAATAGAATAGAATAGAATAGAATAGAATAGAATAGAATAGAATAGAATAGAAATAAGGAATGGAATAGAATAGAATCATGGAATAGAATAGAATAGAATAGAATAGAATAGAATAGAATAGAATAGAATAGAATAGAAATAAGGAATAGAATAGAATCATGGAATGGAATAGAATAGAATAGAATAGAATAGAAATAAGGAATGGAATAGAAATAAGGAATGGAATAGAATAGAATAGAATAGAATCATGGAATGGAATGGAAAATAGAATAGAATAATAAGGAATGGAATAGAAATAAGGAATGGAATAGAATAGAATAGAATCATGGAATGGAATGGAATAGAATAGAATAATGGAATAGAATAGAATAATGGAATAGAATGGAATGGAATAGAATAGAATAGAATCATGGAATAGAATAGAATAGAAATAGAATAGAATAGAATAATGGAATAGAATAGAATAATGGAATAGAATAGAATAGAATCATGGAATGGAATAGAATAGAATACAATAGAATAGAATCATGGAATGGAATAGAATAGAATAATGGAATAGAATCGAATCGAATCATGGAATAGAATAGAATAGAATAGAATAGAATAGAATAGAATAATGGAATGGAATAGAATAGAATCATGGAATGGAATAGAATAGAATAGAATAGAATAGAATAGAATAGAATCATGGAATGGAATAGAATAGAATAATGGAATAGAATAGAATAGAAGAATAGAATAGAATAGAATAGAATAGAATAGAATAGAATAGAATAGAATAATGGAATAGAATAGAATAGAATAGAATAGAATAGAATGGAATAGAATCATGGAATAGAATAGAATAGAATAGAATGGAATAGAATCATGGAATGGAGATACTCATTAGAGTGAGTTTCGCCCCCCGTTGTACAATTTTCTTGCCGCAGGCATTAAGCGAATCGCCGAAGTGGACAAGTTTAGTCCTCCTGTCATTAAATGAACCCGGTTTCCCCCTTGTGAGAAGGTCGCAAAAGGGGGGGCGGGGGAATCACATGACCTTCGCAAAACAGCAACGGTCATAAATACAAGTCGGTTGCCATGCGTCCGCCCATAGGGAGGCTGCGACGGGCGTAAGTGTGGGAAACGGTCCTAACTCGCTATTTGTAACTTTCAACGGTCACTAAACAAACCATTGTAAGTCAAGGACTTGCCTGTACACTAGCACGGCTCTCCCCCTGCAATCTTCATTTTCATTGGGGGGGGGAAGCACTGTGACGACACTATCTTTTCGGCGCCGTCGTAACTTTGAACCGTTGTAAGTCAAGGACGACCTGTAGACCGTCGGTCCCAGCTTGGCGGTTCTTCCCGAGAGTAGGATTCAGGTGAGCATCTTCCTTCGGCCGTTGCTTGACTCCTGTCTCTTTTCTTCTCTTCCCTTTTTCCCAGACATGCCAGATGAACAGAGAGAGGGCCTTCAGGAGGAGCTGATAGACTGCATCCTCCAGGTTCTGCAACGCAACGCACAACTCCACTATTACCAGGGATACCATGACATCGTGGTCACCTTTCTGCTGGTGGTGGGGGAGAGGTTGTCGGCTACCCTGGTGGAAAAACTTTCAACCCATCATCTCAGGTGCTCTTTCTTTTTCCCAGCCTTTCTCAGCTTGAGCTGCTGGAAGACGGGTGGACTTCAACTCCCAGAATTCTGGGAGTTGAAGTCCACCCGTCTTCAAGCAGCCAAGGTTGAGAAACACTGCTTTAATTTAATGAAATCTCATCAACAATTTGGACGAGGGGATAGATGGGGAACTCATCAAATCTGCAGACGATCACAACCTACTACTCGATAAGACAGAAAAATGTGGGTTAGACAGCATCCCCACCAGATGGATTCATAGCTGGCTGACTGGCTGTACTCAGCGTGTGGTCCTCAAAGGAACCGCATCTACATGGAGGGAAGTGGGTAGTGGGGTGCTTGTCCTTCCTTCAGGTGCTTTGGAGAATAGCTTGAACCCCCCATTCTTTGGGGCAGCCCCTGAGATATTGGAAGACTGCTATCATGTCCCCCCTCGTCCTTCTCTTCGTTAAACTAGACCTACCCAATTCCTGCAACCGTTCTTCGTATGTTTTAGCTTCCGGTCCCCTAATCATCTTTGTTGCTCTCCTCTGGACTCTTTCCAGTGCAACTACAGGAGACAAGCTATTCCGTTAATTGTTCTGTCAGGAAGTTTCTCCTTAGTTCTAGGTTGCTTCTCTCCTTGGTGAGTTTCCATCCGTTGCTTCTTGTCCTGCCTTCAGGGGCTTTGGAGAATAGCTTGACTCCCTCTTCTTTGGGGCAGCCCCTCAGATATTGGAACACTGCTATCATGTCCCCCCTCGTCCTTCTCTTTGTTAAACTAGACATCCCCAATTCCAGCAACAGTTCTTCATATGTTTTAGCCTCCAGTCTCCTAGCCCAGCAGTCTCCAATCTTTTGGGCGCTAGGGACCAGTTCCATGGAGAGCACTTTTTCCGTGGCCCATGGAAGGCATGGTCCGGTGCCAGTCCGCAGCCCAGGGGTTGGGGATCCCTCATATGCAGGATGCTTGTGGTGTGTATATCTGTGTGCCTCACCATTGTTGCACTCTAACGTGGCTAATCCTTTGTCGTTTGCAGGGATTTTATGGACCCGACCATGGAGAACACCAGACACATTTTAAATTACCTGATGCCCATCATAGACCAAGTGAACCCAGATCTCCACGATTTCATGCAGAGGTAAACAAAGTTTTAGGTTTTTTTTTTCCCCAAGTCCAGGCAGTCCTCGATTTACAATCCTTCGTTTAGTGACCATTCAGAGTTAGAACCGCGCTGAAAACAGTGACTTACGGCCAGTTTTCCCACTTAACAACTGTTGCAGCCTCCTCATGTTCACATAATCAAAATTTAAACCGTAAATCTTGGGGCCGGGAGAAGCTGGGGACCCATCTGTCGCCTTCTTCTTAGGCTCAATGTGTGTTTCCCTTTAAAGGAAAAGAATTTGTTATGTTGCGACTTTTATCTACTGTCGTGGTTCCGACGGATGAAACTCTTCAAAGAACTTCGAGGCATTGTTTACCTTAAAGAATCTTTATTGAAGTTGCACGGCATTGGCACATACATGGTCGAAGCCAAAATCTGAATTCTCCTCCCCTTAACACATAGTATCAAAGCACAATTCCCTCCTCTAATTCAGGGCTTTTCGACCAGTGGTATAGGTACCACCTGTGGTACATTGGCACCTGGCAGGTGGTACGCGACCATCCTAGAAAAGTGGTAGCGGGGGAGGGGAATGAGCTGAACCGGAGGCAGCACCGCACAAGCCTGAGAGAGAGACGGCTGGAGCTGCAGGGCTGTCAGGGCTGAGCGGAAGCGCCAGGATCAGCGCCAGGATCCAGCTGGAGCTCGGCGCTGATCCTGGTGCTTCTGCTGAGCCCAGAAAAGCGCCGATCAGCTGGAATGTTGCAGCATCTCCAGGGTCTTGTGATTTACATTCAGATGCTTGGCAACTGATTCAAATTTATGACGGTCACAGTGTCCCAGGGTCATGTGAAGTGGCCAAAACCTGCTGCAACCACCCAGCAGACGGGGGGAATAAAAACCAAACACCCCCCACCCCACCCCCACTGCCAATCCTCAACAGAAATGCTCACAACAATGGAAACCTCGGACAGGAGGAAGAGCGCCGCCGGGCGGGCAGGCGTCTTGCTCGGCTGTGGCTTGGGGGGGGCTTTTTTCAGTGCCATTGGAACTTCGAAAAGTCACTAAGCGAACTGTTGTAAGTCGAGGACTACCTGCACTTTTATCACTTTTTCCTTTTTTTTTGGTCATCAAGTTTTTGACACCTTGTTAGGCGACTGGTGGAACTCGGATGTTGCCATATCCTAAAAGTGGTACAATGGGTGAAAAGGTTGAAAAGCCCTGCTCTAATTAACCGTCATAAGTCACATTCTCCAATTAGTTTGAAATGCAGACCTTCCCTCCAGTTCTCCAACCCACCATTTCTTATCACCTCTTTATTTCAAACCACCTTGAAAAAGACTCTACTACGATGTTATGTCTAACTAATTCCCATGCACATTCTTCCTCCCCCCCCCCCTAGTATCATCTAATTCTGACTCTAAAAGTAACACACAAGTTGAGGGGAAATTGGCTGCATCTTCATATATGGTCAAAGCGAGAACATCCGATGTTAGCAGCGTTGACATCTACACTCTGAAGAAAGGAAAAAAAGGGTCTGATCTGTTTCCCGAGTGGCTGCTTTTTATATTTAACTTTCTTCTCCCACCCCTACCCCCACCTCCATTTTTTTTTGCACAGAGCTGAAGTGGGAACCATCTTCGCCCTCAGCTGGCTGATCACCTGGTTCGGGCACGTCTTGTCCGACTTCAAGCACGTGGTGCGGTTATACGACTTCTTCCTGGCCTGCCACCCGCTGATGCCCATCTACTTTGCCGCCGTGGTGGGTGTCCGCAGGGAGGACGGGTTGTTGGGGCCAGGCATTGATGGAGAGGGAGGGGAGCCATTCAGAACAGGACCAATGCTGCTCTCTAGTCCTGGGATCCCAGGGGGGGGGCAACCAGGAGCCACTCAGAGACCCCAAAGGAGGACCTGAACCACATAGCAGCATCTGACTTATGGTTTTCCTTAAGGGGCCTTCCCCTTCCCCTCTCCCTTCTCTTCCCTCCTCTCTCCATTCCCTCCATCTTCCTTCCTCCCTTCCCCTTCACTCCTTCCCCTTTATTCGTTTCTTTCTTTCCTTCTCTTCCTTCCTTCCTATCTTTCTTCCCCCTTCCTTCTCTTTTTCCCTTCTTTCTTTCCTTCCTTCCTTCCTCCCTTCCTTTTCCTTCTCCTTCCTTCCTTCATCCCTCCCTCCCTTTCTTCCTTCCTTGCTTCCTCCCTTCCCCTTCCTTCCTTCCCCTTTTTTCGTTTCTTTCCTTCCTTCTCTTCCTTCCTTCCCCTTTCCTTTTTTCCTTTCTTTCCTTCCTCGCTTCCTCTTCCCTTTTTCCTTCTTCCTTCCTTCCTCTCTGTCTCCCTTCCTTTCTTCCTTCCTCCTTCCTTTTTCTTCTTTCCTTCCTCCTGCCCTCTTCCCTTCTTTCTTCCTCCCTTCCTTCCCCCTTCCTTCTCTTCCTCCCTCCCTTCCTTTCTTCCTCCCTTCCTTTCTTCCTCCCTTCCTTCTCTACCTTTTTTCCTTCTCTTTCCTTCCTCCCTCCCCTTTTTTCTTTTCCTTCCTTCCTCCCTTCCTTTTCTTTCCTTCAGTCCTTCCTTCCTTTTTCCTTCCTCCCTTTTCTTTCTTTCCTTCCTTGCTGCCTTCTTTCCCCTTACCCTTTATCCTTCCTTCCTCTCCTCCTCTCCATTACTCTTTCCTCCCTTCCCTTCTTTTTCCCTTCCCTTCCCAAGCTGCAATTACAACCAATGTGAGCCATGTACAGTTCCTCACCCCCCCACACCCAAGGGGCTTCGGTGTGGGCCTTCCACCCGCTTGAGGTCACAAACCCGGAAGGGGAAACGCCGGTGCTGCCAGTCGCCCGGCCTGAGTCGCTGAGCTGCTGCTTCCCTTTGCAGATTGTGCTCCACCGGGCCCCGGAGGTCCTGGCCTGCGACTGTGACATGGCTTCCGTCCACCACCTGCTCTCCCAGATCCCCCAGGATCTTCCTTACGAGACGCTCATCAGTCGGGCCGGCGACCTCTTCGTTCAGTTCCCGCCTTCCAAGCTCGCCCAGGAAGCTGCTCAGCTGCAGGCCGAGAGGTGAGGAGGGGTCTCCTCCCCTGAAATTTAGGCAGGCGGGGTCCGCACCCCCCCCCCCCGATCCCTGGCAAGCCTCCATGTGGCCTTCGGTCCATGCGTCTGCTGCTCGCCCTTGGGAGAGAGCAGAGAGAGAGAAAGGAGGGGAGGGGAGGGCCGTTCCAAGCTCCCCGTCCCTTTCTAGAAGGTTCCACAGGGGCCATTCCAGAAGGATCGGGAATTGCAAGGCTTTGGGTCACGGTCCCCCCTCGGCCCCTCAGCTGTGCAAAAAAATAAAAAATAAGGAAAGGAAGAATTCCTCCCAGGAGAAAAGAGGAGAAACAAACATCCCTAATAGGGAGGCAGTCCTCGATTTACGACCACGATTGAGCCCAGAATTCCCATTGCTAAGTGAGTTTTGCCCCATTTTAAGACCTTCCTTGCTTCTGTGGTTAACTGAATCGCTGCGGTTGTTCAGCTAGTGACCCGGTCGTTAAACGAATCTGGCTTCCCCATGGACGTTGTCGGAAGGTCACAAAAGGGGATCACAGTGCCACCGTCATAAACATGAATCAGTTGCCAGGCGTCCTAATTCTGATGACGACTGGGGATGCTGCGAGGGTCGTTAAATGTGATAAAACGTCCCCAAATCGCTTTTTTCCGTGCCCGTTGTAACTTCGGTCACTAAACACAGGGCCGTAAGCCGAGGGCTTCCTCTTTTGCACAACTGAAGTTCGACCTGCGAGAAAGACGGCCCCCTCGGAGGCTTCCCAGCCCCTCACCCCTTCTTCTTTTCCTTCCCCCCCCCTTGCAGGACGGCCGTTTCCACCTTCAAGGACTTTGAGCTGGCTTCCTCCCAACAGCGGCCGGACACCGTCCTGCGTCAGCGCTTCCGAGAGCAACTCCGGGTGGAAGAGAGAGCCAAGTCCCTCTTAGCGACCAAGCCCAGGACCAACCGTTTCGTCAAGCTGGCCGTGATGGGGCTGACGGTCATGCTGGGGGCGGCTGCGGTGGCGGTGGTCAAGAGCGCCCTGGAGTGGGCGCCCAAATTCGAGCTCCAGATCTTTCCCTAGGGCTGAAGGAAGGAAGAAAGGAAGGTCCCAATTTTTTGCTGGATCTTCCGGCCGGCTAGGGGGGGCAGTTGTTCTCCCCCAAGACCACCTTCTGTCCTCCGTCTGCCACCCCCGGTGAAAAGAGGAGAACGCGGCGCACCTGTTCAGGTGGTGTTCCTGCGGTTTTTCTCCGAAGGAGAGACGTGGGATCTTGGGATCTTGAGAACGTCTCCAAGCAATTCGGTTGTCTGTCTCAACCCCAAAAATGGAGGAAGACAGAATTTAATTCTCGCGGAATTTAATTCCCGCTAGCTCTCGTTTCCACGTCTCCCCGTGCTAGCCAGAAACGGAACAGCAGGAAAAGAGGTTTTGTAGAAACGCAGAACAGATCAACCTTGGCTACTTTTAAGACTGGGTGGGCTTCAACTTCCAGCCAAGCTGGCTGGGGAATTCTGGGAGTTGAAGTCCACAAATCTTATAGTCGGACACCCCCCCCCTAAAATAGATCTTCGTAGGGACTTTCAAACTGATCTGTTGCCATCGAAGCCGGAAAAAAAATATCAATCCTAATCGCCCGGGTTCGATGTGCGATACTCGGAGACTTTCCCCAACGAAAAAAATGAAGCTTTTCTTTACCTGCGTGAAGGGTTCTCCCCAAAAAATGAAGGTCCACTTAATCCCGTGCATTGTCTCCACGACTTCCCACGGCAAAAGCCTCTCACAAGTGTCCTTATCCAGCCTCCACTCCTTTGGACAGGCAAATTCTTGGCGATCTTTGAAGCCACTAGCTGAAGAGAAACATCCTAAGAAGTAAGAACCGTCCTTCTTGGCCCCCTCGGTGCCCAAGCCAAGGATTGTTCCTGCTAGCTGGGCACCAGTTGAGTATTGCATTCAGCCCAGAGTACGGTTGGACAGCTGGGCATTGAGGTGGACAGCCGGTTAGCCCCGCTGCGCTCTTCGGGCTGAAGGATGACCTCAAGAGGTGCTCCAGGAAGCCACAGCTTCCAGAAGGCGTAACGATCCACTTCCCGGAAGGACCTAGACTTCACCTCTGTTTGTGTTTCTCTAAAAGCAGTGGCACTGAATTCTGCTCTGGCCAAGACTGGCTTATTCTGGAGGAGAAGCAACCAGGATACCCACCGCAAGTTGTGTTCCTCATGTGCTTGTTGGCCTTCTCTTCTGGACAAGCTCAGGGCCGGGGCCACAAGGACCGTGCTTTTCTCCAGGGCTTGGATTGTGCTTGTGTGGTTCTGAAGACCACTTGAACCCAACAAAGCTGGTGGGACTTCAGCCTTTGCTCTGCCTTCAAGTAGCTGTTCAGATGTTTCTAGACAGATGGCCCAGCCAACATTTTGGATCACGAGTTTTGGACTGTACCATCCCTCTTGAGGCGGAGGGGAACGTAGGTAGACTTTCCCCAACCCTTCGGATCTAAACCCGGTGTCATAGCATAAGAAGCAGGTATGGGGATGATGCCATCTGAGCAGCAGTGACAAAAAGGGACAGGAAAAGCCAGATTGAGGCCTCTTAAGAGAAGTTTTTTTAAAAAAAAAAATCTTTCCGTGGCCTCTAAGAGAAAGAGACACGCAAAGAGGGCCCAGGAAATCCCTGACCTCGCCTTTTTTTAAAATAAAAAATAAAAAAAGCACTTTACACAAACGAGTCCTGAAAGAAGAAGACAGCCTTTTTATGGTGAATTATTAAGGCAGGAAGGGCTTTCTCTCACTTTTTTGGGGGGGTGCTCTGATGTCTCTTTTGTTAAAAGACTTAAGAGGCGTTTTCTTCGGCTGCTGCGGCACGGTCATATCGGCCGAGGAAAACCAGAGCCCTACATTTTGCTTCCAGCCACAGGAAAGATGCAGCCGTTGGAAAGAGAAATTCTATTTCATTGTATTTCATAAGAACTGTCTCAAGCTTTTATTTTACTCGCCAAAACAAAAAAAGTACAAATTCGTAAAAATCAGAAAATCAAAAAAGGGACGGGGAACGAGAGACAGGCCAGGGCGCTTAACGCAGACTCCCTTACGGACCGCTTAAATAGGGAGTGAGGTTCCCCCAGTTCAGCCGAATCTTAGCAACTTGGATTTTGCAGGATTTAGCAATGGCTGGGGGGGCCTTTCCTGCCTGCCAAAATCCGGAGTCCTCTCCTTAGAAAACGAGCGTTATCGAGGGAGAATTTGGCGAACGGGTGAAAACTAAACAGAAATGGAGTTTGCACTGCGGTTTTTAAAAAAAAATGGCCCGGGATTTCGCTAGTCAGTTGCAGTTCTGTTGGAAAGGACAGTGGTTTGCTGAGGAACAGGCCTGATCCACCAGTGAATTAACTGGGACCACATTGGTGCCAGGAAGAGGGGAACAGAAGCCTTGCCACTCGTCATGAATGAAGCAACAGGCAGCGTTTACGCTGAACGCCAACTTGACGGCACTCTTCCACTTCACACAATCCCAGGCTTGCAGCGGCGAGCCTGGAAACCCACCAGTCCAGGCTGCCTCGCCCACCTGTTGCATCTTTAATTGTCACCTCTCTGTGGGCAGACAGGTAACAAAGCCCAGTGGTTTTGAGTTCAGTGGAGGGGGAAAAAAAATGGAGATCGACACAGCCCTTCGGTCGTGCACCCTGGGCCGCGTGGCTCTTTTGTATACTCCTGTACGTATGTTAAACTTGTAGATTTGTAATTGTGTAAAATAAAGAAATGCGGTATTAACTTACTTAAAGCGGCGTGCAAGGATGGTGCCGGTTGAATCCAGCTTTGTTCTCTCTTTCCTCGCTCTGCTTGGGCTAAGCGGAGCGGGTCTGCGACGACTCGCCGTGGAACGGAATCGTTAAAGGATGCCAAAGGAGGGACGAGACGGAAGGTGAGTGACAAAAATTAAAATTATTTTCTGAGATTAGTTTCAGTAATTAAATTGAATTGTTAAAATTGTTCCGGGGTGAGATGGCCGCTGTGAATTGGCCATAGCGAATTGACCCACTTCAAAGTGGAGTCTTTCAGTAGCAACTGTGAGAGGGATCTGGGAGTCCTAGTGGACGATCACCTAAATAGGAGCCAGCCGTGTGCTGCAGCTGCCAGAAAAGCCAACACAGTGCTTGGTTGTATTAACAGGGATAGAATCAGGATCAGGTGAAGGGTTAATACCACTTTACAAGGCCTTGGTAAGGCCACACTTGGAATCCTGCATCCAGTTTTGGTCACCACGATGTAAAAAAGATGTTGAGACTCTGGAAAGTGTGCAGAGAAGAGCAACAAAGATGATTAGGGGACTGGAGGCTAAAACATATAAGGAATGGCTGCTGGAATTGAGTATGTCTAGTTCAGGGCTTTTCAACCTTTTCACCCATTGTACTATTTTTAGGATATGGCAACATCCGAGGACCACCAGTCGCCTAGCAAAGTATCAAAAACTTGATGACCCAAAAAAAGAAAAAAGTGATAAAGTACAGGTAGTCCTCGACTTACAACAGTTCGCTTAGTGACTGTTCGAAGTTACAATGGCTCTGAAAAAAGTGCCCCCCAAGGCACAGCCGAGCAAGACACCTGCCTGCCCGCCCGGCGGCGCTCTTCCTCCTGTCTGAGGTTTCCATTGTTGTGAGCATTTCTGTGGAGGATTGGCAGAGGGGGTGGGGTGGGGGGTGTTTGGTTTTTATTCCCCCCCCCCCCCGTCTGCTGGGTGGTTGCAGCAAGTTTTGGTCACTTCACATAACCCTGGGACACTCTGACCGTCATAAATATGAATCAGTTGCCAAGCCTCTGAATGTAAATCACAAGACCCTGGAGAGGCTGCAACATTCCAGCTGATCGACGCTTCTTCAGGGCTCAGCAGAAGTGCCAGGATCAGTGCTGAGCTCCAGCTGGAGCCTGGTGCTGATCCTGGCGCTTCCGCTGAGCCCTGACAGCCCTTCAGCTCCAGCCGTCTCTCGCTCAGGCTTGTGCGGTGCTGCCACCGGTTCAGCTCATTCCCCTTCCCGACTACCACTTTTCTGGGATGGTCACGTACCCCCTGCCAGGTGCCCATGTACCACAGGTGGTGCCCGTCCCACGGGTTGAAAAGCCCTGTCCTAGTACACCCAAAGGTGCTTTTTCAAGAGGAAAGTGGACTGTCCTTTGTTTTTCCTAAGATGTTTCACTTCTCATCCAAGGACCTTCTTCGGTTCTTCTTTTGTTCTTCCTCAGAACTGAGGAAGCTTTTTGGATGAGAAGCGAAACGTCTTCAAGGAAACACGAAGGACAGTCCACTTTGCCTCTTGAAAAAAAGGCACCTTTGGGACAACCACGTCCTGGATTGATTGAGAATCTCCTATAATTTCAAGTAGTAAATTCACAAAATGGTGCAATTTTTTTTTCAAAAAAAAAAAAGAGAGAGAAGACCTTTTTAGCAATTCCACAACTTTTAATTCCCAGCCGTCGAAGATTCATTCTGCGGACTTCTCCCATTCCCTGGAAAGATTCTGCGCTACTTTTTTGCCTTAAATTTTAGAAACTAGATTTGGGTGGAGGGGAACGGGAGAGGTAACACACACACACAGACACCCCTTAACCCCAAAGCTCCATCTGATCCGGATTTGGTCTCATATCACAGAGGAAGTTGGAACGTCCTTAGAGCGAAAAAGGGGAAGGGAGGCCAAGCGTCCCATTCCGTAACAACCAACAAAGAAGAATTGTGGTTTCTTTTGTAAATAAAATCGGAACTCCAAAGTCTGGTTTTACTACTGCGACGAGTGGCAAGCATCCGTGGCTTCGTTAGATCCCGGAGATCCGACCTGGAAAGCTCAAAAAAAAAAGGGATCGGATCATGCTGCATTTTCTTTTTTTTTTTTACGAAAAAGACGAAGCAACATCTCGAGTGAAAACTAACCAACAGGTCAAGTTCTGGGCACAACCGACATAGGACTGGGGGGGACGAAAATACGCCCCCTGTGCATCCTCGGCCCCGTGGCCACCTCGGAGAGTTTTCCCAGATGGACGTGGTGGGAACGGAGGTCCCTGGTCACGCAGGAGAAGAACCCAGGGCAATTGTCCCAAAGTCACCCCCGGCCGTCGTCCAGGCCTCCCGTGTTTTCCTGCAGGCGAGCGGAGTGTCTGCAAAAAAAATATCTGATTTTTCAGGAGTCTCTGGATCAATGACAGTTCTGGCAATTTGGGTGGCAGGACACCCCGTTCACTTTGCAACGGCAGCCCCCGCTGGTGTCGCCCGAGCCCTAAAAGGAAAGAAGCACAAGAGTGTCAAAAGAGGGTGCGGGACCGGCAAGGACGAGACCGTGCCCCTCAAAAATGGGCATGCAAGGAGTCCCCGACTTACGACTGTTAACTCTTATCACAGTCGTAAAGCTGCGGCTCCTAAACCGTATCCAATTTTATGACCTTTTTTTTTGCAATGGTCATTAATCCACCGCCACAGTCATTAAACGAGTCGGTTTTCTCCATCTTGACTAACTGTAGATCAGCGGTTCTCAACCTATGGGTCGCGACCCCATTTGGGGTCGATCGACCATTTCACGGGGGTCGCCAAGCAAGGCTGTCCGCCATTTTTTTTTCCCTTTTCCGGCGGGTGCCTTACCTCCCTTGGGCTGGGCCAGCTGGTGGTCGGCCTGCTCCATCTCTGCCGCTTGCCAGCTACGCCTCGGCCGGCGCAGGGGGCGGAACCACGCATGCGCGGCGCTCCCGGGCAGGGAAAGTCCTCGACTTANGATCTGCGCCGGGTCAGAGGCCGCAAAGGCACGACTCGGTCCAGTGCCGCGGCAGCGGCTGCTTCCCAGGCCGCCGCCTGATTTTCCGCCGAGTCGTGAACTAGATCCTCTGGATATGGCCCAAGCTCCGTCAGGAACCTCTCAGGGTCCATCAGGCGCCTGGGACGGAACCATCTACGCGGTTCCGTCTCCCTGCGGCAGGGGGGAGCGGTCCGGAAGTCCATCTTCAGGAGTAAATGATCTGACCATGACAGGCTCAGTAACTACCTCCCCTGTTTCCAGATCATTTTGCCACTGGCCGGAGACAAAAATTAGATCCAGTGTGTGTCCTCCTATGTGAGTGGGGGCATGTACTAATTGGGTCAAGTCCAAGGCCGTCATGGAAGCCAAGAACTCCTGAGCTGCCGCCGACGCTTCGCCCACTGATGGCAGATTGAAATCCCCCATGACTACAAGGTTGCTTCTCTCCTTGGTTAGTTTCCATCCGTTGCTTCTTGTCCTGCCTTCAGGTGCTTTGGAGAACAGCTTGACTCCCTCTTCTTTGGGGCAGCCCCTGAGATACTGGAACACTGCTATCCTGTCCCCCCTCGTCCTTCTCTTCATTAGACTGGACTTACCCAATTCCAGCAACCGTTCCTTAGATGTTTTAGCCTCCAGTCCCCTGAAAATCTTTAGATTGGGGTTCTCCAGACTTCTGAAAACTATCCAACTACACCCTCCCCATTATTTTTACACCTCCTAGTATACCCAAAGGTGCTTTTTCAAGAGGAAAGTGGACTGTCCTTTGTTTTTCCTTGAAGACGTTCCGCTTCTGATCCAAGGACCTTCTTTGGTTCTTCTTTCGTTCTTCCCCAGAACTGAGGAAGCTTTTTGGATGAGAAGCAAAACATCTTCAAGGAAAAACGAAGGACAGTCCACTTTGCCTCTTGAAAAAAAGGCACCTTTGGGACAACCACGTCCTGGATTGACTGAGAATCTCCTCCTATAATTTCAAGTAGTAAATTCACAAAATGGTGCATTTTTTTTTTCAAAAAAAAAAAGAGAGAGAGAAGACCTTTTTAGCAATTCCGCAACTTTTAATTCCCAGCCGTCGAAGATTCATTCTGCGGACTTCTCCCATTCTCTGGAAAGATTCTGCGGTACTTTTTTGCCTTAAATTTTAGAAACTAGATTTGGGTGGAGGGGAACGGGAGAGGTAACACACACACACAGACACACACACCCCTTAACCCCAAAGCTCCATCTGATCCGGATTTGGTCTCATATCACAGAGGAAGTTGGAACGTCCTTAGAGCAAAACAAGGGTAAAAGGGGAAGGGAGGCCAAGCGTCCCGTTCCGTAACAACCAACAAAGGAGAAGAATTGTGGTTTGTTTTGTAAATAAAATTGCAACTCCAAAGTCTGGTTTTACTACTGCGACGAGTGGCAAGCATCCGTGGCTTCGTTAGATCCCGGAGATCCGACCTGGAAAGCTCAAAAAAAAAAGGGATCGGATCATGCTGCATTTTCTTTTTTTTTTTTACGAAAAAGACGAAGCAACATCTCGAGTGAAAACTAACCAACAGGTCAAGTTCTGGGCACAACCGACATAGGAGTGGGGGGGGGGACGAAAATACGCCCCCTGTGCATCCTCGGCCCCGTGGCCACCTCGGAGAGTTTTCCCAGATGGACGTGGTGGGAACGGAGGTCCCTGGTCACGCAGGAGAAGAACCCGGGGCAATTGTCCCAAAGTCACCCCCCGGCCGTCGTCCAGGCCTCCCGTGTTTTCCTGCAGGCGAGCGGAGTGTCTGGAAAAAAAAATCTGATTTTTCAGGCGTCTCTGGATCAATGACAGTTCTGGCAATTTGGGTGGCAGGACACCCCGTTCACTTTGCAACGGCAGCCCCCGCTGGTGTCGCCCGAGCCCTAAAATGAAAGAAGCACAAGAGCGTCAAAAGAGGGTGCGGGACCGGCAAGGACGAGACCGTGCCCCTCAAAAATGGGCATGCAAGGAGTCCCCGACTTACGACTGTTAACTCTTATCACAGTCGTAAAGCTGCGGCTCCTAAACCGTATCCAATTTTATGACCTTTTTTTTTGCAATGGTCATTAATCCACCGCCACAGTCATTAAACGAGTCGGTTTTCTCCATCTTGACTAACTGTAGATCAGCGGTTCTCAACCTATGGGTCGCGACCCCATTTGGGGTCGATCAACCATTTCACGGGGGTCGCCAAGCAAGGCTGTCCGCCATTTTTTTTTCCCTTTTCCGGCGGGTGCCTTACCTCCCTTGGGCTGGGCCAGCTGGTGGTCGGCCTGCTCCATCTCTGCCGCTTGCCAGCTACGCCTCGGCCGGCGCAGGGGGCGGAACCACGCATGCGCGGCGCTCCCGGGCAGGGAAAGTCCTCGACTTA